AATCAACACTTAGGCTATCTTGCACAAAGGAAATGTAGAAAGTTGGTATCAGAAACTGGTGTGTCTGCAAGGCCATAATCATGTAGGATACCTCCATGCATCTTACTGAAGTTTTGCTGGAATAAAGGCAGCTAAAAACTGATAATGTCCAATGGGTTTTTATGCCTCTATTAAGATGGAGTGGACATTTTTAAGTAAAGCAGATTGGATAATTCTTTTCTGCAAAATCACGTTGGGTACAGCCAAGTGATAAGGTACAAACTTGGAGGGTAAAGTGAAGATTACATTAGTGAAACTGAGAAATGGCAAGAAGAGCTTTGAAGCTGGGCTTTCTGAAGAATGACTTCTGAAGATGCTATGAAAAAATGAGAAGCAGTGTGAGGGGAAAGAATATTGTGAAAAACAGACTGATTTTATTAACTACAGTAAAACTTGTTTTGTTGGATATAGCAATAGGTAGGAGAGGACTCGTGGACTCTAGAAACATCTGGTGGGCTGGGGAGTAACTTCTCTCTACCACCTCAGCAGTTTCTCACTATAAGGAATTCCGTATACCATGGCACAGAAAGCCAACTTTCACTGCCAGAAGCCAAGAGCCTGTTTTATTCCTGTTCACAATACTAGAATGAGGAACACCCAGTGGAGCTGAAAGATAAACTGAAGCACTTGTTCAGGCAAAATATTTGCTTCTACAACAAGTAGTTATGGCTGGCAGTGTGAATAGCTTTCAAAGGGCATTAGAACAAATCATGGAGAATAAGGTTAATCATGATAGCTATATATTTTGTCCAGTATCAGAAGCAGCCTAGCTGACAATACCAGTTGCTGAGGAAGACAAACACGAGAGGACTTCTGCATTCATTTCCTTCTTGCTGGCTTCCCATAAGTAGGTATATGTGAGAAATCCAAATGGAGGGGTGATGAAAAGTCAATGGATTTTCATGATTCACCCTCCTCCAATTCCAATTTGTTAGCTTGTACTGACTTGTTGTGTTGCAAGTTGAGCCAGCTGGTGGATTTCCATCTTTACGACAGACCACGATTTGCACATTTTTAACCTGCTAATGAAATTTTCACAAACAAGCACATACTAAAAACCATGTGGTTCTGGTGTGATTTGCACAAACCAACCAACTTTATACAAATCCTGTTCTAGTCATGTGGTTTTTAGGTGCTTATTTTCACAATTTCATTAGCAGTTAAAATATGCAAAACATTGTCCATCATACAGGCAGGCAACCATAAAAAAATAACAACTGCACACACTTCATCAGATCAGAATCAGGGGCTGGATTTTGGTACATCCCTGCCCACAGGCATCTGGCATCAGCACAGAAAACAGGATTCTGATGCCGGAGGGCCTCTTCTTGTGTCCTCAAACCATAGCATACCAGCTTTTGATACAGTTCTTATACTGTAAGCACAATAAGACAGAAGGGAAGTGCAGGGAAGAGAAGTACTGGGGCAACAAGTAAGGTAGATCACTTTTTGATTTTGTTGGTAAAGAGCTGTCAGAAATTAACAGAAGCTGCTAGGCCTTCTTGGAACTGTCTAATTCAATAATTATATCATTGTAAAGGTTTCCAGTTGGGAAGTTCCATGCAACCTCATATGGACTGGACCCGATATTATTCTCTCCAGCCTGTAACTTAAAGGAGTGTGCTAAGAATGGCCCAAAAGAAATATCTGGCTGAACTGGCCTGAACTGTTTAAGTCTCTGCTTCTGTGATACACTGCTGGGGAGGACCAGCTCCTGACTCATTTCTAAAGGTATCAGGAAGGAAATTTACATGGAAGTGAAGGGTAGGAAAAATATAATAAAATTTGGAATAAGTTCCCATCATGTTCTAGAGTTTGGTGAGGATACATTGCAACATAAGAAAAAAAAGTAAGTGGCTAAAGAGTTAAAATTGCATAGATATGCAATCCTGCACTGATCCTGCACTGCTTCCCTAAATATGTTCAGACCAGAACTCAAGCAAACTACCAGGGAAGGAGGGAACTGTAAACACAAGCTGGTTACTAATATAGTCCCTCTGTATAGATCCTTGGTATTAAAACTAGTTTCGAATACATTTATTTTCCTTTCTGATGTACTTTTCACAGGCATTCTAGAGAAATATGTGTGGCAAGCTGGGATGGCTGATTCCAGATGGGCATATAAGCCGGGGAAATTGCAACAACAGGGTGGGTCAAGGCAGACATGGTTGTACCTGGGCAAAGAAACAAAACACAGAGCATGCTATTGCAGACCTGGATGATGAGCAGTAACTTACAGGAAAGAATAAAGCACTTAGTGAATAGTCACCAACTCAATTGCTGATAGTAGTTTGGATTTACTTGCAGCTCTCTCTTCCAAACACAGACAGCTGCTACTTCATTTATGAAAACTGGCAAGATCATGGCCTAGGTCAGAGGTCGGGAACCTTAAACATTCAAAGACCCATTTGGACCCATTCCCCACAGAAAAGAAAACACCGGGAGCCACAAAACCCTTCTGACATCTAAAATGAAGATAACACTTCATTTATTGATGCATATATCATTTTTTATCAAAAAACCCCCAGACTGGTAAACCAGTCCCATCAGCAGTGAAAGCAAATGAATCTGCCCATGTACCATTAAATGTTCTGTTTTTTTCTGAAACTACCAGGGGTCAAAAAGCTCAATAAATCGCATGCTGGGGGGTGTCGCACATTGGTGGTTGTGACACGTATTGTGAGCGACAGAGAGCTGCAGCAGAGAGATGAAAGAGCCACATGCAGCTCTGGAGCCGCGGGTTGCTGACCCCTGGCCTAGGTAATCTAGCTTCAGGCTGCAGGGACTCCCCAGTTACATTAAGATAATACTCTAAATTACAATATAAAAGTTAAATAAGTGAATCAGTGTTTTTGGTTTTGTTTTTTGTTCATTTAGAGGTGAAACCTTATACACTCCAAAATCGTCTTCCATGTCCAGAAAATCTTTATAGGTTCACTATAATTTAGTAATCTGTACCTCACATTAGGTGCAGTGCAACTGAAAGGCAAAAATAAAACTGTTACCAAGCCACCCACCAGCTGTGAAAAACATAGAATATCTGGATTAATTTATTTGAAATTAATAAATAAAAGATATGTCCATCTGATATATTAATTCTTGTCTTTTTCTGTTACAATTAATGCTTAAATCAATTAGATACAATTTTCACAGTGGGCTATATAACACATCTTTCAATCAGACTGGCTGATTATTTTTTTCCTATAGGATTCCATTTTATTAATGGCAATGAAATGTTCTGTTAAGTTTCAATAATTGCACACAAATTACTTCCTAAATGCAGAAATGTTAGCATATCCCAATGAGCAACATGGTAACATAAGCTGCATGGATTCACCAGGTTTACAATTCAGTAGAACTAATTAAAAAACCAGGCACAGACTATTTCATAAAATAGAATAGGAACAGGACACACTTTAGAACTAAACCATACATTTCTGTGAATCACTGAAATATTTTGGTTGCTTTCCTGGCCTACATCATACTTAAAACCTGTAAAAGTTAAGAGCTTCAATTTCTTTGTTATTCTTTACCTTACCTTCATTTCTCTGGCAGTGTCACCTAATATATGCAGCCTCAGCCAATCCTCCTGCTAACTTTACTAGAATAACTGTTTTCCACCTGAACAGAGACTACTGCACCTTTGCTTCAGCCTTTTGTGCCTGTTCCTTCAGCATCCAGCCTTCAGCTTCAGCTAACCCTCAGTACTCTCAAAGGCACTATCCCTAGTTTTCATCTTAACTTTGGCCTTTCTTCCAGCTATGTTCTGACTGTGGCCTTCACTTTTCTTTCCTCCCCCTCTTTTCCTCTGTTTCTTTTCAGCTTCTTTTCTACTCTCTGATCATAATTACTTTGCTCACAATTTAAACCAGCCACAGCTTCTTACTAAGCATTCCTGAGTATGTTCACAATAAACAGAGGAAGAAGATGAGAGCAAACAAACAGCCAGAAATGCATTCTCCTTCTGTGAACATTGAGGGCATTCTGGAAGTTAGAAACAGCAATTGCTGTTTTAAAACCATTTTAAGCCACCATTGACAACTTTTCTGAGTTGTCAGATTGCAAGCACAGCTAAGAGCAGTGGGACATGTGCACTGCCTGGGCCACATATAAACATGCTCCCGTTGCCTTGATATACTGTAGTATGTAACTTTGCCAAGTAGAATTTTCAATGTATTTGTATGTAATTTTACTTGATTAAGATATAATGAAAATGTATCGAACACATGTATCCTGGCAGTTCTATTTTTATTGTAAAACCTAGTTTCTTTCCCCTGCAGAGGGATATGCAGAAGACAGTGAAAATGGATGCCACAAATATGAAGAGGTCACAACAGAAATATGACAGAGTTAAATGGGGATTTCATACATCAAACAATCCTGATTTCACACCATTTTTTCCACTGGGAAATATTTTGGCCCAACTCTACTAGAAATGCTACATTCATGAGAGAATTGGTAGGAAATAGGCCTTCATTTGTGTATAAATAAATAATACTCGTCTAAATTACATAATGTAATAGTACATTTAATTTTTTAAAACTTCTACTTTTCCTGTAATTATTTTTTTTTACTAGGCTAGAAATTAACAGGAAATCTGGCAGATAACATGAAGCTTGAACTTTCCTTTGGTTGAATCTATTTTGATATTTCTTTTAGAATGTTCCCACAGTACCACCAGGAAAAAAAAAGCCTGCACAACTCCCAAAGCTTTAATCCTCTTAGCTGTGTGAAACTCTGCTAAAATTACTGTCATCATCTAACACCCACCTTACTTATTCTGAGCTATAAAATACATATTTCAAAAAACCTAGAATAACAATAGGGATTTAGTAGCTTTTGTATAATACTTCTTTCTGACTTTGAGCAATTCAAGATAAAAGTTATGAGATCATTCAACTAATATCAGTTTAAGAAAACAGTTTTTGCCCAGTGAAAATATCTATTAATGGTACACTTACCTCCCAAATTCATTCCCGCTTGAAGACATTTCTGTAATCGGCAAGCTGGACAGTTTTTCCTTCTAATCTTATCAATTATACAGTCATTCCGCCCTGCACACAAATAATTGTGCTGCCCTGCATTGACAAAAGACATGAAGAAATGGCAGGTTACAGTCTACTATTTACAGGAAAATATACTATCCTAAGTCCAGATTCATAACTATACACATTGAAGTTTACCATCTGATTACATCTTTTGAATAACTTGAACCAGCCAGAGAATCTGCGGTAGCTCATGGCATTGTTGTTGTTGTTGTTGTTGTTGTTGTTGTTATTATTATTATTCATAAAACACAAGAAAGGAAATTAAAATAAGTAAAACAGAGACACGGAACATAAAATCCTTTAATTGTTAGATACAAACTTCTAGAAAGGTAGCCATATTAGCCTCTTGTACCAAAACTACCATACAGACTAACAAATCTGTTCTACCATACTACTACTACGATGACGTTGTATTTATATGCCACCCTTTTTCCTCCTGTGAGGAAGCCAAGGTGACTTACATAGTTCCTTTTCACTCTATTTTCATCCTCACAACAAGCCTGTGAGATAGGTTAGGCTGAGAGTCTGTGACTGGCCCAATGTCACCCAGTGAGCTTCATGGCTAAGTGAGGACTAGGAGCCAGATATCCCCAGTCTCCGGTCTAATTCTCCAACCACCACACCTCACTGGATCTCAATACAAATGTAGTATGGCATGAATTATTTGGATTACGGTTCAGGTGTGTACATTGTTATTTTGAATGAGTAGCTATAATATGCACATGGGTAAAAGGAGAGGCAGATGGAAAACATAGCTTTTAAAATACGAAGATGTGCAAAGTACAGCATCAAATGCAAGCACAATGAACATTCGGACAAGCCATAATTACGGTTAATGCATTCATTTTAGCTTTGCTATGTAAGTTAACACTTGGAATGGGACTGGAAGCTATGGTTGGTATTCAACACAAAACCAACAGGCAAAGTACAAATTCAACTATGCAGATGCTCTTGGTTAGCCCCAGAATTCAACTAGTGCAAGTCCACTTACCACATGCCTGAACATGGATGCCTGCAGTGTGTGTGTGTGGGGGGGGGGGGGGTTTCACCAATTCTTCCCTCTTTTTCTTGTCCCCTTTGAAAATAATTGTTCAGAGGGATGGGAGACCATCCAAAACAATGCGGGAAGTGGTTTGGGGGTACTGAAAGGGGACTGATAGAAATTGCTGTTTCTCCTTTCCTCTACCTATGTGCCTTTCTTTTGTGCAAGTACACTGGATCTTACCATCTGGTATATTCTGATTTGGTCCAAACTGCCTGATTACCAAGAAAATAAAGCTTTGTGTGTGTCATAGCTCACTCAAAGTATTTATTCATTCTGCAGATCAGTGAGTCTTGGAGTTTGGAATACGTTTAAAAGTTCCAACCGCCTAGTCTTGACAAAGATACAATACTGAAAAAAGGACAAGTGAAGAACAAGTAAAATATTAATGGCTCAGAGCACTTTGTCTACTTCAAGGCTAAAGCAGTTGGGGCTTTTTGCTATTAGTGAAGGGATTCTATGAATGACAGAGGTGTCTAAAATTATCTGGAGGAAGTAGATACAGATTTTCAAAAGTTCTGCCTTTTTAATATTAGTAGTATGTAGAATTACTCAATGAAACTGATTGGCTGTAGATTTGAAAGTGACAAAAAACACACAGCATACTGTCCCTGTTCGGATGCATGCCATAATTGAGCACAATTCTACATTCATTCTAACATTTTTTCAAATGACTTATAAAAACGTATGGACATAAGCAAAGTTAGTAACAACAAAAAGAATGATTGCTGCCCATAGTAGAAACTGTAGTAAGATTAAGATAATTATCCTTTCTGTGTGCTTTCTTAAGAATATTATTCAAAGAGAAACCTTTCATGGGCACTGACTGTGATATGCTGGTCTAAATCAAACTATTATATCAATTATATGTTGGATCTTCAAGGCCTCAAAGATATATAATGAGACTTAGATATGACAGGCCATGTGCTGTTCTAACACACCAGGGACTGAAGCCTTTTGTCAAGAGTTTTTCAAAAATACATTTCACTGTTAAGTTTTTAAAAGTTCCTTGAATCCTCTTTTCAAAAATACATATGTATGCTAGATATAGCTTTTCTTTAAAATGTCACATAGATATGTCTGCTGACAAGATCTTTAAGTGGCACTTCAGTTCTATAGGGCAAATTTACATTTTGTTGGTTGAAGAATATTCCAAGCATATATTAACATGCATTTTACAGTACTTATCAAATTATGATCTTTTCAAGGGTGACATAAAGACATATGATGGAGAGAAGTATCCCTTAAAGCAACTTATTCTTCTGCCAAGTTATACATACAAGGAAACTCATCTTAAAATTAATTAGTGTCCAATACCATGCAACATTTGGTAATGTACAGGAATACTAGCAGTTGATTTCCCGAAGTGTCATGTCACAGCAAGCTCATTTAAATTATTTAACTTTGCAGCTGCAGAACAATTAGAACAGAGGTCAGTAACTGGCAGTCATCAAGCCTAATCTAGCTCCACTCAGGGAAACCTCCCAGCATCTCCATTACCTATCCCCCCTCTCTCCTCCTCCTTAAATGGCCTGGAGGATGTGGGAGGGAGCAATGTAAGTCACCTCTTCTCTCTCTCTCTCTCCCCCTCCCGCCCCTCTGCCCTCTTTTTCCAGGGACTGGGGACAGGAGCAGGGTAGGCAATGGTTCATTTTCTTTCTCTCATACTACTTTCTTCCTCTTTTCTTCTTCCCTCAGGAATCAAGCCTGCAATGGGTCCTGAACTGGTGACCCAGGATCGGCCCACATCCCAACTTCCAGTTCTGGCTAGCAGGGCGACCAGCCACAGTAACCAAGGAAACATCCTTCCTGTTTACATTTTTAGTTACTCATCCTGTCTTACAGATGTTTAACCCAGAATCAGTTCTTTCCACTTCTTATGAGAAAGGAGCATAGAAGGTAGAAAGACAGTATTATCTTAATTTGTATCATTCATCATTGTTATATCTTCCAATAGCTGATGCTTTTGGGCAGTTTTTCAAGAGTTCCTAAAAAAACAATTGATGATCAGCTTTAACACCCAACAAATGATGAGAGAGAAATGTTTGCTTCTGTTTATCAATATGTTTACCAGGACTCTCCCACAGTATTTCATGCCATCTAAGAATGTTTCAACTGATCAACAATTAGTGCAATTCAGAGGGCAGATGTGAAATAGACTATACACCATCCAATCTGTGAAGATGGCACAAAAACTGGGCAACGTTACAATTCCAAATCATCATATGTTTATGATATAGTCATATATATGGAAAAGAAAGAAGGTGTTACAGCAATAAAAAACCTATGCCACAAAATAGATGAGAAACTAACAATGCATTTACAGGGTTCTGGACAGAATGTAACAACTGATAATTTCTTTAACAGTGTATCACTAGCCAGGGATTAGCTAAGAAAAACCTGGCTCTAGTCAGGAAAATGAACAAACCAGAAATTTCACCCATATTTCCCTGCCCATGAATCCAAAAATGGAACAGCAGAAGCAGCTTTAGTTTTCAAGATTTGACATTTGTAGACGGTATGATAAAGGAAGTACAATTAATTCTATTTTGTTCAATGCATAATGATTAGTTAACTTAGCCCAGAATCCCAAGTCCCAGATAATTTTTTATTGCACTACAGTAAAAGCTAGCACAGGCAGCTATAACAATGGACATGGCCTGCCTACACTGTTTGCAAGCTGAAAACACATGATCCCCATGATCTCTCTCACAGATCAAGGTCTAGACTTGATCAAACCTTGCTGGAGTCTGCATAAAAGCCAACTTTGTATCAAGACAGTCTTCCTCATTGGCAAGGCCTGCACTGCTAACAGCTAAAAAAGAGAACAATGTCATCTCTGTAGCTGAAGCAATGACAGAATACAATGGCAATAATATAACCATCTTGTCCAAACTACTCATGCAAATGTGATAAATCTGCAAAAGCTGTTGAGGTAGTGCGACTGCAAGGTCTGTAAAATTTGCTGTTGTTACCAGGAACTTACATTTTGTAAGTACTGCACTATTAACATTGTACAACAGTTATGCTTTATGCATGTTAGTGGTACATTTTTAATGTTTAAAAATGATAGTGTCAGTTAGACCCTACATATGGTTCACTTAGATTTTTGTATTTGCAGTGGGCCACATTTGTATTATGTGGTATTGTGGATCTGAATGACTTACGTACAATTAAATGTTTCACTGGAAAAGCGAACTTGCTTAAAAAATAGCTTCTACTGGAAGGCATGATCTTTTTTTCACTTGCCAATGGCGTCATGCTTAGTAACTCTGAGCAGGAATTGTATTTCTACAGCTTTCCTGGGATAGATATCTGATATCAATCTAAGTTTGATACGGACAATGTTTCTTTCAATACAGGGTTAAATCAGGAACTAGATGTCTGCCACAGCTTGCAATCAACAGCCTAATCTTCTCCCCACAGTGCCTCCAGGATATCGCCTGGGGGACTGAGAGAGAAGAAAATGTCATCATCTTCCAAGCACTTCCATGTAAAAAACTGTGTGGGGTGGAAATTATGTAGTATCACTTGTCATGATGTGGGAACCCAGTCACTGTGTAGTTTATCCACAGCATGCATTGCCATGCCATCCAAACTCAACCTCTCTCTCCAAGAGCTCAGCCTGCTTGGCATTCATGTACTGGCTCCCTTGATGGTGGATTTTTAGAGATGGATCTGCTGGCCCAATGTTAGAGCTAGGCTTGGCAGCTGCAGTTGTTGGCCCAACCCAGAGGACAGCTGTTCTTCAGTGGTGCTCAGGTCAGGTATCTCCTCTGCTAGCACAACTGATTTATCAGCATTACTGCTGTACTTCCAAGTTATAACAGAGAGTTTTCCTATAACCAAAAGGCACAATCTACTGTTGTTCTTGTTTTGTATTTGGTATTATCTATAAGGCCCTGACCATATAACTATACTGTAGTATGTATAATTTCCAGAGACAAAACAACTAAGTCACTTGAAGTGTTGGGAATGCATCAGCCAT